AGCGCGCCTGCGCGAGGGGGCCTGACCGTCGGGTCAGGGCGCGCCCCCTGGTGGACGGCGCGGGGACCGCGGGGGGGCGTGTCCAGACGCGCCCCGCCCCCACCCATGGAGGGTGGAGGGGCCGCCCATGGGCCTCCCACGCGGCCTCTGTAGACTGTGCATCCGAGCTGTGGACTGGTGGAGGGCAGGTCTGCATCTTGTCTGTAAGTTCATCCATCCATCCCTTCATTCATTTATTCATTCATTCATTCATTCATTCATTCATCGTTCAGTCATTCATTCACATACATACTCTTCCTGGTGCTGTCAGTGTGACAAGCCTGACTGAGTCCGTTTTATGACTGTCAAATTCTCACTCAGGTGGGGCTGAAAGACAGGCCAATGAATGGATCATCACCATAGAGACATAATGTATACTGATAGGTGGCGCTTGGTGCGGGGGCACACACTTGTTATTCCAGCTACTCTGGAGGCTGAGGCAGGAGGCTTGCAAGTTCAAGGCCAGCCTGGACTCCTGTCTCAAAATAAAAAATAAAAAGGCCTGGGGATAGAGCTCAGTGTGAAGGCTCAGTAACTAACACACACACACACACACACACACACACACACACACACGGGCACACACACATGGGCACATAAGGTGCTGTGCCAGGTCCGTAGGAAGCAGGAAAGGGCGAGTGGGAGATTTCACAGACCCTGGACTCCAGCAGAGGGAGCAGTGAGAGGGCCCAGTGGCTTCTGGGAACTATGAATGGCTGCAGCTTGAGCAAGAGGGTGGTGGGAGGTGGGTTCCTGCTTCACTGAGGCCCCAGGGAGCCAAAGAGCTTCTTCGACTTTATATGCATCTCGGAGGCCATGAGGGAACTCAGTAGCGGTATGTCCTTGGACAAGTCACTGAACCTCTCTGTGCTACAGTAGCCCATTTGATGACACAAGGAAAATAAAGCACCCACTTGGGAAGTCTTGGCAGGGAGGAAATGCGGGCCTGGGGTAGAGTGCTTAGTGCTCAGGGGGTGGCGTGTGGTGAGTCTCCAGTTAAGTGTGGACTGTTATTACAGAGCGTTGCTAATGGGACCAGGGAGTGACACCAGGTAGGCAGCTGTGCTTGAGCAGGAGCTGGGCACAAAATGGGGCACAGTGAGGAGGGCGGCCAGGGACCCTAGCAGCTTAGGAGGTGTCCAGGCCCTGAAGAAGGGGGCAGGCTTAGCGACCCGGGAGGAGGGGCTGTTGCTGGGGGCAGTGCTGGCAGGGTCCTAGAAGGCAAAATGAGAGTGAGAGGGACTTGTGAGGGCCCCCAGGGAGATGGAGCCGGGTACATGGTGTGGCTGCAAAGAACCTGAATGCCCGGAAGGGGGCACCACGACTTGGCCTCTCTGACCCGCTCACCCTGGGACCTGCTTCCTACTGAGGAGGAGCCAGCCCTCAGGAGGGGCGCGCTTCGAGGAAGTCTCCGGTCCATCTCAGACATGGGGGACTTGTACTGGCAAAAACAAACACGGATTTGGCATTCAAATTTGAGAGTTAAATCTCTCTTGGGCCATTTACCAGCTGTGTGGCCTTGGGCTGGTTACCTAAGGTCTCTGAGCTCAGCTTCCCCTCTGTAAGGTCTGGCTCGGTGCACCTCTCCGGAGAGACTGCAGGTTCAGCAAGATAAGCAGCTAGGTGAAGGGGGTGGAGCTGGCCTTCACCTTCCGCTGAGGTCGAGATAGAGTGATAACCAGGCGCAAGTGGTTGCAGCGGCTGCCTTGGCCTGCAGAAAACACTTCAGCTGCTCTGCAGAGGCCTCTGGAAGGGAGAAGATAGCCAGCGTGGTGGCACATGCCTTTAGGAGGCTGAGACAGGAGGATTGCTTGGAGTTCTAGTGAGTTCAAGACCAACCTGAACTACATAGTGAGACCTGATCTCAAAAACAAAAAAACATCAAGAAAAACCAAAAACCAAAAACTGAAAACCAAAAACCAAACCAAACCAAACCAAATCCCTGTCTCAGGTTACGCCCAGCCCCATTTCCTTTACTGCCATAGACACCTGACTTTTCCCCCTGGATGTGCTGTAGCCCAGCAGGTGAACTTTAGAATCAAATAAACTCATATTTGAATTCTGGCTCCACTTTTGCCCTCCCTCCGTGCCCTGCCAATCATGACCTTCCTGAATCCCAGTTCCTGGGAATGGAACCCTGAAGGAACCCATACAAGGCTCCACCCCTCCAAGCCTGCCGTTAGGGGAAGAGCCAATCAGCTTCCAACCTGAGGGTCCATTTCCCCCATTGGTCCATTCATCAGGCAACAGTACTTACGCCTCCTGGCCTGGATGGGGTACTGGAGGCAGATGGGTTAGCAAGACTCTCACTGTTCCTACCCAGGAGGAGAAATAAACACACAAGGCAATCAGACACCAGGGCGTAAAGGCAGTGATCACCCCAGGGACTGGAGTGGACTCGGGGCTCAGCTTTGGGCCAGTGCAGGTGGAGTGGGGAGGGGACAGTAGTTAAGAATCCTGAGGCACAGAGGGCTCAGGACTGCGGAGGTAACCGCGCTAGACAGCCAGGTAGACGGGTCTGAGAGGAGCAGGCTAGACCTCAGGTTGTCGTGGACCAGCGGTGCACTGAGGGTGAACTCTGCTACTGAGAGGTTCTCAGCGGGGATGGGACACGGCTAGTGGTGAAGGTAGAAGACCAGCAGGAGGCTGCCGCATGGTTCCCAGCAGTGGTGGTGGTGGTGGGTGCAGGGGACTGCAGAGGGTAGGCACAGGGGACCAGGGACAGCTCCCTCAGGGACTGAGGCCTCCTGAGAAGCCAGGGGAGACCCTCAGGGGAGACCCTCAGGGGAGACAGAGAGAGGAGGGAACTTGATCTTCGAGGAGCTGAGTCCCAGCCACCTGTGAAACAGGAGATGTCAGATCTGCGTTCCTGACTAAACATTTGGTTCCCCAGGCCAGGCCGCCTGTCCCTGGGTGGTAGGACCTGTCCCAGGGATGTGAAGAAGAGGAAGGCTGGTGTGGGGCTTGGAGTCAGCACTAGGGACCTGAGGCCGGGGGGTTGTACCCTGGGCTCCCAGACAGGGCCCCCTGCTCCCGCCCAGGCTGCCTCTGCCCGCCCTCCCACCTCTCTGGCAGAGTTGACAGTTTAGAGAAGCCAGCGTGAAGTTGTTTGAAACTCAGGCACCCTGGGCAGTCCCCGGGGCAGAAAACAGGAAGCCAAGATTAAAGGCAGACTTCCAGCAAAGTCCCCTCCTGCTTCCTGCCTGGCAGGTGCAAGCAAAGGGCCACTGGCTTCCGCTGCGATGGTACCAGGGCTTCAGTCCTGACCTTGACATCACCGTCCTTGGGGAGCGGCTGCCCAGGCCCTGGGGAGCTGAGCCTCCTCCAGAAAGAGACTTCGGAAGCGGGTGGCAGAAGGGAAGGAGGTCACCCGGGAGAGGCCAGAGAGGCTTTGGGGTCCCCTGGACCTGGTGTGAACCCCACCTCCCAGTTGTGGGGTCTCACAGAGTGAGGGGTTGTGGTGTGGGGTGAGAGAAGAGGGTGGGGGGTCTCATGGGGAGGTGGCTGGAAGGACCAGGCCAGCGTGGGGGCCGAGAGTTCTAGAGAATGCAAGTGGTCCGTGTCACTCTATTGCTAGGGGCCAAGGGGCTGACCACTTCTAAGGGCTCTGGGAACCCCTCTGACCTCTCCCCCTTCCAGGACCCCACACCAGGTGACCCTCCCCAGAGACCCATCCCGGCCTCCCCTGGGGATGCTGCCTCTGAGGGGGGTGCCCAAATCCCACACTCTAACCCCACATCCTGGGGCTAGGTGGGTTTATCTGAAGCGTCCTGGGGACAGATCTCGCTTGACTTTGGGCCAGTCCTTCCCCTCTGGGCCTCAGTTTTCCCATCTGTTTTTGAGACCTGCAGGCCTGTCTTCTGTCCACAGGTGGATGGCTCTGGGGCAGTGTGGGGGCTGCCAACTGCCTCCAACTCTGTCGCCTTGAGCCCAGGGAACTGCTGTTTACTGAGCAACTGCTACATGCTGTGCACTTGATTCTTATTACTGATGCTCACAGCCCATATTTGTTGAGCACATACCAGGCACAAGCACTTTTCATGGCAGACCAGGGTCTGTTCTCTGCACGGCAGCAGCTCACTCCAGGGGACTGACTGCCTGGGGAGCGAGTCTGCGTTCCCTTCATGCTGGTGGCAGAAGAGCTGCCGGCAGCGGTTTGGTGGCTTCAGTTCTATTGGCAGTGGCCGCAGTCGAGGTCCCTGGGAGCCTCCACTGCCACAAGGGTTACTGGGCACTGCTGACCTCTGCAGTGCTGGTGTTTCAGGTTGGTTTTTCCCTGCAGAGGGCAGATCCAGTGTCAAGTCCCTGTGCTGAGGTCATTTCTACGGTCCTGTTCCCTCCTGCTGGGGCCTGGCTTCACTGCTTT